GGCACTTTTGCGAACAGCTTGAAAATGGGGAGGGGGAATTTTCCTGCTTCTCATTCTGTTCAGTCTATGCTGAGCTTCAGAACAGGGTGAGGGGCAGGGAAATTCACCCTCCCCATTTTCAAGCTGTTCGCAAAAGTGCCGCAGGAAAATCTGTCCTCCCCCCATTTTCCTGCTGGTCCTCCTTTCCTTGGGGGTGATTTCTGCTGAAACCATGGATGTGCCTGTGTGCAGGGCTGGCAGGGCTAATGAGCACTGGGTGGGGGGCGAAATCTGGTTTAGATGAGTAGGGAAGCAGAATTGGTTTAGGTGAGCTACCATTTCAGCAGGCAGCAGCTCCATGGGACAGACAGATGGAGGAGGAAAGGAAATCTTTCCCTCCCTCCTAAATCCCACTGCAGGATTACCATGGAGCTCCTGCCCACCAAGGCTGCAAGGGTAGCCAAGACGGCCAGGAGGTTGAAGAGCCCTCTCAAAGCCAACAGTAGCAGATGCAGTAGCAGATGCAGCTGGGAAGAAGTAGGGGAGGGAGCAGTCAATCCCAACACACCACACAACTTTCTGCCTTGTAGCAGGCGCCTGCACAAGTGCATAGCAAGTCTCTTGCTGCCGCTGTGCAAACCCCAGCATGGACAACAGGAGCTGTGCCTTCTCCCTTCCAAAACATGCCAGGATGGCACCAGCAACAGGCAAAGGTAGCAATCTGATCAAGAGCCCCCAGAAGGCCAGCAGCAGTAGGTGCAGCCGAGCAGAGGGGGGGGGGAGAAGCAGGCAATTCCAATGTGCTGTGGGCAGGGCTGGGGCTGGCAATACCTCAGGTACCCAGAAAGATAGGACGAGAGGCAGCGCCCGGCCCTTGCTGGCTCAGCTGATCCACGGGCCATGATTAAGGGGCCGAGTATACCCACCCTTTTGACCAGTGCTTATTTTTGGGGTAGGGCTTATGTTAGGCCCACCCACCCCCCAAAAAAATCAAGCTAGGGCTTATTTTCGGGGTAGGTTGTATTTTTGGGGAAACACGGTATTCACATCCTGAAATCTTTTAGCTAAGAATTGTCATATATGAGTTGTTATGAGCCATGATGGAGCAGTGGCTAGAATGCAGTACTGCAGGCAGTACCCATTGTCAGCGGTTTGGCAGTTTGAATCTCACCAGACTCAAGGTTGACTCAGCTTTCCATCCTTCTGAGGTCAATAAAATGAGGACCCAGATTATTGGGGGCAATATGCTGATTCTGTAAACCAGTTAGAGAGAGCTCTAAAGCAGTGTGAAATGGTATATAAGGCTAAATGCTATTGCTAAGTGCGATTTCTATTATGGCTTATTCTGTTATGAATTATGGTAAATATAAATATTTTGAAGGATGTTGGCAAACATATTTATATTACTGTAAATCTGCTGTCCTTTTCTGCTTGAAGCTTTCTGGGTCTGAGTGCGATAAACCTAGAGGATTTCACAGCTGGTTCAAGCAGCTCCTATCAGCCATCAAACAGCCTTCCAAATATCATACGCTGAAGATAGCCAGTCGGCTATATGGATCAAAGGTTTATCATTTCCTGGAGGTAAGAAAGAACACTTTTTCCCTCTTTACCTATTAATCCAATATTGATGGATAGCCAATCTGGATGTTCACAATAATCAGCAGCTTGAAGCAACCACATATCTTTCTGACTATGAATTTCAGAGAGTAGAATTAAGTACAACTGACTTCAAAGAAAAACAGGAGTAGTAGCTCTAGTTGTAACAACTATGATAAGCCGTGCCTTTGTAAATGTGGAATTGATGATGATCCACTTCCTAAATATGGTTTACTAGAAATTCTACAGGTATCATGTTTTGTGTATAGACACACACACACACACACACACACACACACACAATTTTTCAGGCAATGATGCCATGCAAACACCAGGAATTTCATTCTTCTAGGACAGAGTTTCTCAACCTGAAAAGCAATTTTCAGACGTGTGGACTACAACTCCCAGAATTCCCCAGCTCTAGGATTATTTTCAACTTTCTAGTCTAGCCTACTGACTGAGGCGCAGCAAACTAGGTGCTGCCATCTAGCTTGGCCAGCAACCAATGTCAACTAGATTTATTGATGAAGTGCATGTGATAATAGGGGAATGAATATATTGATATGTCCTCTTTCCTTTGGTGCAGCGATACGAAAAGTGCACGAAAGAGCTATACAATTGCGAATTGGAAAGTGTTGACTTTATGAATGCAAATGAGGAAGTTAGACAGAAAATTAATTCCTGGGTTGAAAGGCAAACAAATGGTAAGATATTGTACGCTGCTCATAGGATTTCCCACACTGAACATGAAGTATAATATCACTGAATGTGTAGTCATTGAGAACTAAAGGGAAAGGATAGATGATGGACATTCTACTGCATGAAAAATCAATGATGTGCAGGGGATTTTTATGGACTGATGTGCTGTGGAGTGAGATAAGAGGATGCCTCTCTGAGCATGAAGCCAGTTCTTGTATATTTTAATCTGCCACTTTAAGTGCCAAAAAGGTCATTCATGAATTTTAAACAATATAGAAAGGGTCAGTGAATATGCCCTGCTAAGATGCTGAAGAAGAGAAAATTAACCTAGGGTCTGGGGTAGGCCAGGACCTGAATATATCACCAATCTGCAGTATATCAGAGGCTCAGTTTCAGGCCTTCAGCCCAATGAATCTTTCTCATCCATGGCTTTAGATAAAGGATTTGCACAGTTGGGTCCAACCTTCTTTTGGACACAGGGAACCCACAAAATGGCTCCATTATGTCTGAGTTTTTAAACACCCCCTGGTATTATGTGCGTCTCTGGTGTCATTCTTGCTTTAACATATTGTTGTTCTGGGTTGTTGTTTTTTACTGTATACTTCCCAGAGTGAGATGGGTGCCTGCATAAATGTGATGAATAAATGAAATCAGGTCATTTTAGGTTTACATTTTCACTCTTTCACTTATCTTGGATTTTTATGTTTTGTGTATTCTTTTCTATTCTCAGACTCAAAAACTGAGTTGTAGAAAGAAGTGATTCATTGACAGTATTCCACCATTTGCTGATATTTTCATTCAATTTATCTTCCTAAAGGTGAGATCACGAATTTCTTTCGTGCTAACTCCATTGACCGATCAACTGCCATGATCTTATTAAGTACTATCTTTTTCCAAGGAAAGTGGAAGATGCCATTTAATCCAAAAGATACGCAAAGAGGAATCTTTTGGACTTGCAAGGTATGGTATATAAACAACCAGGGAAAATCACAATTCTGTCAAGCAATTAAAAGTAACAGCCTTGTTGAACACCATGGGAACACAAAATCTATATATAGTAGGTGGTATGCTGAATTATCAGAGTCTGAAATGAAAGATTGGTATTATATTTGGCCTACTATACTCAACATTTCATCTTGAAATTCCTGATATTGTTATAGCTTTACTTTTAAGCATTGCTTTCCTTGTTATAGGATCAGAGCATGTATGTGGATATGATGACTCAAAGGGGCAGATTTAACATAGCCAATATATCGAACCCACCGATGACAGTGGTGGAGATGGATTATGAGCATGAAGAGCTGTGTATGAACCTTCTTGTACCAGGTGACAGCATATCTACAGATGAGGTGATTTGAGTTTTGAATCTGTATTTTAACAGTATGCTTGGTAAAAGATCTGAAGACACATCCCTAAATTTACATCTACAACTTTTTAAAAATCATAGAATTACAGGAAATGGTGTTTCTAATCCTAAATAATTCTCAAATCTAAGTTTGGATATATATATATATTTCTCATATTGTTTATCAGTATAATAACTAACTGTATGATTCTAAATGTGTCAGTATACTGAACATATTCCTTAGTTTGTGGGCAACAATATACTAGCTTTCAATGTTGTCTAGAGATCAATGTTGCTAGCTATCACAGAGTAGCAGGAATTATTCTAGTGACACACTAGCCAAAATTTGCTGACTAATCTGTCTTGAGGACCTCCCATTATCAATGGGGGGAGGGAGAGAGAGAGAAATAGAAATCCACTATCCAGAATATAGCCTATTATCCACCCCACCCTTCTCTCACTAAGACTGATGATATTACCTAGTTTGGATAACGAAACTTCTGCAAGAAAACAACTAAGCTCAGAGGGCACCAAGGACCTCCCCCCATTCAATTCTGAACTGCAAATATTCTCCTTATCTATCTTTTGTGTCCAACAGTCTTTCCCAAGACCACTGCCATCATGTCTGGTCTCGTGTTTAGTGATATACTGAGAATACTACTTTACGTACAAGAGATATTCCTATCTCTTCTACAACGACCAGTATATTAAATACTTGGCCATGTTGTTAGGCAAGCTTATGCAAAGCTTGAAAAAGGGAGGGAACAAACTGTTGGGTATACTTTTGTACAATATTTTTCTTTCTCCAATACTATCTCTCTGTCAGTATGTGTGTGTACTATTGAGAGTCAATTTTTATTAGTGTGGTTCTTTTACTCCAACTGCCACCCACTCTTAAGCCATTCCAATAACAATGACCACCATATATGAAAATATGAGGTTCTTGACTCTATGCTGAACTTTGGCCTGGCATTTGGGAAAAGCTGCATTTTGACAGCTGAACCTGCACTTGCTGCCCTTAGTTCCTGTATATTGATGATATGATTTAGGAAAAACGTTGCTCTATTGGGTGACATGACTGGATGAGGGGTAAAAAAAGAAATCCTAGATAGAAAAAAAAACCTACAGCACATTAATACATTGTATGTATGTCCAGCATTTTTATTTTACTATTCCTGTAGGAACAAAAAACAGCATGCATGCAGTAATCTTCTCTTTCCCTCAGCATCCTCACAATTTCTGTTAGGTAGACTGGGTTGAGAGAAGAGTCGAGCAGTGAAATCTTTTGAATCTTGGCAATGCTAGCTTTTGCCCTTGATTTCTACAGAGATTACATCTCTCCCTTTCCTGGGATTCCTGATTTTAATCTGAGGCTGGTGGGAATTGGTAGCCGTCACTTCTCTTGAAATTTTGCCTTTTGTTTTAAAAGGGCTCACTTTTTCTCCCTTCAGCAAGGAATCTGGATTATTTGCCTTTGTTTACATGTCAGAGAAATCTCTCTTACAGGGAATGCATAAACTGTGAGTGCCTGGCAGCCCATGAGATTGTGAATATCTGGTGTAAGCAGACATATTCACAAACCTGGAGCAAGATAAGCTCTTCCTAGATGCACTGCTCAGCATCTTGAAAAGAAGTAGCATTTCATCAGATAAATTTATTAGATTATGTCAAAATGATAGTTATTATGAAGTTCTTTGGCATTTTGAAAAACCATTTGTCTGTTTTGTTCTCCCCCACCAATATTTTTTTCCACTCTTGTATTGATTTCTATTTTTCTTGACAGATTATAATGAATCTCACTTATGAACAACTTCAAGAATGGACCAATCCAGAAAATATGAAAAGCGTACCAATTAAATTTTCCATGCCAAAGTTCACAGTGCAAAATCAATATCCACTGAAAGATCCGTTTTCAGACATGGGGGTGAAGAATCTGTTTATTCCAGGCAAAGCCGATTTATCTGGCATGACTGGGAATAATCAGTTAGTTGTGTCTCAGGTTTATCAGGCAATTGTATTTACTGTCAGCGAAGAAGGGTCAGATGCAGCTGGAGCCTCTCGTACAGAGGTAGTTTCTGGGAGTCACCCTGATATTAAAATAAATAAGCCTTTTTTTTTTATGGTGAGACATAAACCAACCAATATGATCCTGTTTTTGGGTAGGATTTGTGTGCCAAACTGGAAGGTGCATCCAAAATAACAAATGTCTTTCCAGATGTTGTGAACAGTGGAGCCTTCTATATTCTTAATTCTTTTTCAACTTGGCTAATACCTTGTCTAAACTTATAAGCCCCAAATCGATTTCCTATTTGCCTATCTGGGTCAAAAAAAGCTTTCACTTTGTGAGTCTATCTGCAACTCCTGTTCAGTGCAAAAGTGATGTATCCATAATAAACTTTTCTTATACTGTGCATGTTTGGAATTTCACACATGAAATCAGGAACAATGAGGGAGAATCAGTAGAGTTACTTTGAATCCTCCCGAGAGAATAAACCTAATGTAAAAGAGTATCCATGAAGATCCTCAATCATCCAGGTCAATTCCAGTTGCCTTTTAGAAAAAAACACCTTTGGGACTCAAGACTTTGGATGTTGCTGGGCAAAGGAGGGCAAATACAACTATTTATTTGTTTTAAGGGAAAAAGTCACCAGAGTCTTCGTGAAAGCTGAAAGCTGACTGCCTGTTGGAGCAGTACATTTGTATAGCTCCAAATTTTCCTTTCAGCTGGATATTACAGAAGGATGGGGTAGGAATATAGAAGAAGAGGAAAACCCCTTTTTCTTTTTCTCCTCATTCCTGTCTCACTCCCACTCCATCTAACTTGATTTCGTTTCGAATTGGCTGATGAAGACTTTTGGAAAACTCAAAAGCATGCATGCCACCTGTGTAAAAAATTGCCCTCTTTTGCTATGGTATGCTTTCGAACAGATTTTTATGAGATACATCACAATAAAACAATGCTAAATAATAAGTAACCTTTGCTTCTACAAATGTCAGTAGTATTTATATTGTAATGAGGAATTATGGCAGTCAGACAAATGATCAGAATCCAAGCACTGAATTTATTGAAAGCTTGGTTTGGAAGAGGTCCAAAGGTGGGAATTACAAATTGTAACTGATGCAAATGGAATGTACGTGACTCTCTAAATTTGTCTGATGATGTTATTGACATAAACTAATATGTGATAAGTTTTCTGAACAACAGTCAAGACGATTTATTTTGGCTGAGCCACAGTTCATTCAGAAATGCTGTGTGGCTGGTTCTTCCTTTAAAATAGCTGATTTCCTGGGGTTGTCTAGGTAGCTTCTTTTTGCTGGTCAAGAAATGTTGCCTGATAGCAGCTTCAAATGTTTCTTTTCCCTCCTTGAGAGATTCAAATGTGGTGGCATATTTCTGTCCACCACTCTTAACTTTTAATCAGGGGAATAGTTGGCAGCAGATAATAGATATAAGTAGAGGTAGATAGATGATAGATAAATAGACAGACAGACAGACAGACAGACAGACAGACAGACAGTCAGACAGACAGACAGACAGAGGAAAGTAGCGAATTCATCTAAGTGATCTATATACTTCTATATATCAATATATTTCCCTGAGACTATCAGTCCTATAAGGCAGGCCAAATTAGAAAACCATAGTTTGCAACTATAGAGTTTTAGTAGACCTTGTGACGGCTATTTCCTGACCTGGTCTACCTCAAAGGACTGATTTCTCCAGATTTCACTGCGTATGTTAGGGCTGGAGGCATAGTTGAACAACCCAATGTTTATGTGTAAAGGGAGGCCAGAGAAAAGAATGTGTCCGCAGAAGAACTTTCAGCATAGTTGAAAGAAGGAGGGGCTAGGTACAATTTTCTCTCTTGTGAAATAGCTTCCTGCTGAAATCAAACCATGGGCTCTGCTGAAATATTTTTTTTTTAAAGTTTTGCAAAGCTTCTAAATGTTATCAGAATGGAATTCTTATTCATTTCCCCAAGTGGTAGGCTTCTAGCAGCAACAATATATATGTTGAAGTCCCTGCAGATTGATTGAATGGACCAGCCACATAATGAGTGGGTTTGAAGAGATGAAAGCTAAGGTTTTGCCGGGAAGTTTCTGAATCAGCAAAAGGCAACTCTTATGAAACTCTGTCTATTACGCTACTGTAAAAAAAAAAAAAAAAGCCTAATAAAGCTCTATCATGCAAGTACATTTCAGTGTCAGTATGAATGTATGGTTTCCTTGAAAAATTAGTAGCAATTCACTGTATGGACTAAGCCAGGCCTCTCCAAATTTGACAACTTCCTTCAATTCTCGGAGTTGAAGTCCACAAGTCCTAAAGCTGCCAAATATAGAGACCTCTGGACTAAGCTATTCAACTCCCTGCATAAAACAAACAGATGAAAAAGGCTCAGCAGATCCAAACAAACAGGCATGAAATGTATGCAGTAGTACACAGGTTTCATATCCGTAAGTTTCCTAATCTGGCTCATGTCACATATTAGAAACAGAAGTTTAATCAAAATGATATTTAAGGGTTTTATGCAGAGCTTGAAAACTAAAGTACATACACATCAAATTAAGCATAGGCATTTCTACTACAATAAAGTAATGGTGTTTGTCTTAATGTTGCCAAAAGACAAGCACAGGGAAGTTGTCACCAAGATTTTTTATTGCAATGGGAAAATAATGGTTATTTAGCCTTCCTTACAAAGCAAAGGGATAAGAAGTTTATACAAACAATGGAAGAAGAACTGGATTTCTTTTTCAAAGAGAACAGAAAAGGAGATACCTCACTGCAAAATGTATGGCATATTGCCAAGGCGTATTTCCGTGGGCTAGCTCTAATTTATATAGGAAGGAAAAATAAGAAAAAGAAACAATATCAAAAGACAGAAGAAGAAGAACATAAAAGATTAGAATTAGAATTACAGAAAGAACCACAAAAATAACTTGAAAAATCAAATGGAATTAATAAAACACAAACTTAATAGAAAAAGAAGAACTGGCAAGAAAGATGCTAAAATGTGTGGTTTTTATAAAGAACCAACAGAACTCAATCAGATATTAACAGGGACAGGTGAAAAACTAATTTTAAAAAATGCTGCTCAATAGTTATCTATTGAGCATTAAAATGGAAGGGGAGCAAGTAAAGGAGACAATGATAGTATGGTTATACAATAGAATTAGATAAATGGCAGAAATTGTGGGATGGGAATTATAAATTAATGATATCAACTGCATACAAAGAAAATCTTTATAAAATGTTTTATAGATGGCATTTTTCACCCACAAGATTGGCAAAGATGTTTAAGGACATATCCACAAAATGTTGGAAATGTAATCAGGCACTAGGTTTGTGTTATCCAAAAAATATTGGACAAAAATACATACATGGTTGGAAAAAATGATGAAGCAACCTATAGATTTAAAACCAGAAATATTTATTTATTTATTTATTTATTTGATTTGTCAATTGTTTACAAGATAATAAGTATAAGTGTATACATAGTTGTGAATACATGAGATGGGTACATATAAGAAAAATATGAATATCCATATTCTTGTTGGGCATCTTACCAGAAAAAATATTATAAAGGAAATACATACTTGATTTTACATGTACTAACTGCAGCTAGAATTGTATTTGTACAACATTTGAAAAGTGAAGAAATTCCTACAGAGGAAAACATAATTAAAAAAAAATATTAGAATGTGTAGAAATTGATAGATTAACACTCAAAGTTAAGGAAAAGGAAGAAACTGAAAACTTTTTAATGTGGGACTCATTTTACAAATGGCTAGCCAATAAAACAGAAGTTAGAAATATGGAAATATAAGAGAAGGATTAATTTTATAAGGAGGGCTTATTAAAATGGATAAGCTATTTTTATTTTTATTATTTTTATTATTTTTATTATGTTTATTATGTTTATTTTTATTTATTTTTTATTTTTATTTTATTATTATTATTATTATTATTATTATTATTATTATTATTATTATT